GGCCATTTAGATACTTGGGAATATATTATCTGTGAAATATATTACTGGCGTAATACATTACTTGCAAATGGATTGTCACTGTTTGGGTAGTATTTAGATGCGACCTAGGAAATACATTGTTACTGTTTGGCTATGTCGAGAAGAAATATGGGAAATGTTTTTTTTTTTTCTTTTTTCCCAAAACATAAGAAATATGGGAAATGTTTTTTTTTTTCTTTTTTGGCTTTATACTCAAAACATGGTTGAGCATACAATCCCTATTAATATGTAGCTTAAACTTTATAATTGCACCAGGCATAAGAATTAGCTACACATTTTGTATGCATTTGCGTCACTTTGGAATAACATACTTTTATTATGATAAGCCATCATATTTTTTATACTTTTTTTTCTTGTGCTAAAGCCTTTTGATCATCTCTCTACAGAAAACTTCCATGGGTAAATTCGAAAGAAAAAAAAATTTGAAGAAATTTGGCGGTAACCTAGAAGGCTTTATGAATGAGATATATTGGAGGAGAAATTATGTTGGGGTATTGGAAGAGATTGAAGAGGTAAATTAATTCAAAAAAAAAAAACAATTGAAGCACACTGATTTGGTGAGTGAACTCAAGTATTTTGAATTTATCAAGAAACAATAGCTGTAAAAAACAAAAAAAAAAGCCAAAAAAATAAATAGAATATCTTAGAGATAGCCTACATCCGTTTATTTTTTTTTGGAACAATAGCTACAACTGTAGTTGCAGAACCCAAAAAATAAATCTTGCTTATTTGGAAATAAACAATAGCTACAACTGTGCTCGTCGAAGATGGGGCTGGGGCCGGTAATAAACAATAGCTACAACTGTGCTCATAGAATATGGGGCTGGGGCAGGTAATAAATAATAGCTACAACTGTGTTGGTAGAAGATGGGCTGGGGCAGGTAAAAACAATAGCTACAACTGTGCTTGTAGAAGATGGGGCTGGGGCTGGTAATAAACAATAGCTATAACTGGGCTAGTAATAAACAATAGCTACAACTGTGCTTGTAGAAGATGGGGCTGGGCTGGGGCTGATGCTATCGGGTTTTAGCTGTTGAAGATGGGGTAACAATAGCTACAACTGTGCTTGTAGAAGATGGGGCTGGGCTGGGGCTGATGCTATCGGGTTTTAGCTGTTGAAGATGGGGTGCTACCGGGTTTTAACTATAGAAGATGGGGTTGGGGCTCGTGCTACCGGGTTTTAGCTGTAGTAAAAACAATAGCTACAACTGTGGTTGTAGAAGATGGGGCTCGGGCTGGGGGCTGGTAATAAACAATAGCTACAACTGTACTTGTTGGGGTTGGGGTTGGGGCTGGGGCTGGGGCTGGTGTTGATATTGGTGATATCGGGTTTTAGCTGTAGAAGAAGATGGGGCGGGTGTTGGTATTGGTGCTATCGGGTTTTAGCTGTAGAAGAAGATGGGGCTGGGGCTGGGGCTGGTGCTAGTGCTGTCAAGTGTTAGCTGTAGAAGATGGGGTGCTACCGGGTTTTAGCGGTAGAAGATGGGGATAGGGCTTGTAGAAGATGGGGCTTGGGCTGGTGCTACCGGGTTTTAGCGTATAGAAGATGGGGTGCTACCGGGTTTTAGCCATAGAAGATGGGGATGGGGCTGCACTTATAGAAGATGGAACGGGTTGGGGCTAGTGCTACCGGGTTTTAGTTATAGAAGATGGGTGCCACTAGGTTTTAGCTGTAGAAGATAGGATGGAGTTGCACATTTGTAGAAGATGGGGTTGGGTCTACTGAGTTTTAGTTGCAGAAGATGGGGATGGGGATGGGGCTACCGGGTTTTAGCTACAACTATGCTGGGCTGGGGCTACCAAGTTTTAGCTATAGAAGATGGGGATGGGGATGGGGATGGGGATTGGGGTTGGGTCTACTGAGTTTTAGTTGCAGAAGATGGGGATGGGGATGGGGCTACCGGGTTTTAGCTACAACTATGCTGGGCCGGGGCTACCAGGTTTTAGCTATGGAAGATGGGGATGGGGATGGGGATGGGGCTACCGGGTTTTAGCGGTAGAAGATGGGGATAGGGCTAGTGGGTTTTAGCGGTAGAGGATGGGGCTGGGCTGGTACTGGGGATGGGGCTATCGGGTTTTAGCTGTAGAAGATGGGGATGGGGAGCTTCTAATGGAAGGAGATGGGCTGGGGCTACCGGGTTTTAGCTTCTAATGTACGGAGATGGGGCTTCTAATGTACGGAGATGGGGCTGGTGCTGGGCTACCAGGTTGGGTTTTGGGTGGGGCTGCGGGTTTTAGTTTCTAATAGAATGAGATAGGGTTGCTGTGTGATTTTTGGGAAGATGCTGCTGAGGCGGGGTTGCTGCGTGATTTTTTGGAAGATGGGGCTGGGCTGTCGGGTTAAGGAGATAGGGTTGTTGTGTAATTTTTGGGAAGATGGGGTGGAACTAATGGATGAGGCGAAATGGAAAGAGATAGGGTTGCTGTGTGATTTTTGGGAAGATGGGATTGGGTTTAATGGATGGGGCGAAATGGAAGGAGATAGGGTTGCCATGTGATTTTTGGGAAGATGGGGTTGAGGCTAAAAGAGGTGGTTTTACCTAATAGAAGGAGATGGGGCTGGGGCTGCCGGGTTTTAGCTTCTAATAGACGGAGACGGGGTTGGGGTAGGGGTAATGGGAGCTGTCTAATAAAAGGAGAAAGGGTTGGTAATGGAAAGAGATGGAGCTCGGGCTTGCGGGTTTTAGCTTTTAATAGAAGAAGATGGGGTTGGAGTTACTGGGTTTTAGGGGGTTTGATAGTTGAAGTAGATAGAGATGTTATGTGATTTTTGAGGTAAAGGAGCTATCTTTTCCGACTAATAACTCCCTTAAATAACTCCCTTACCTCATAGTTTCTTACATTTTAATGGTAATAAAAAAAAAATTTCTTTTAACTATAACCAATAGATTCTTTACCTCATAGTGATAGCCTTATCTTCTCCAACCAATAGCCCTATCTTCTCCCACGAATGGCAGTCATAATGGTAGCCCTATCTTCTCCGACCAATAGCTCTCTTACTTCATAGTTTGGTACATTTCAATGGTAAAAAAATAGAAAATGATTACCTGAGATTTTCCAAAAAAAATCAAGTGAAAAATCTATTAACACTGTGATTACCTTATAGTGGTAGCCCCTATTTCTCCAACCAATAGCTCCTTAAGTTTGAGGTAAGGGAGTTATTAGTAGAAAAAGATAGGGCTACCTTATTTATTTATTTATTTTTACCATTGAAATGTACCAAATTGTTATTGGTTGTAGAAGATAGGGGTACCTTGTTAGCGGCGAGTTGAACAATTTTTTTTTTTTTTACCATTGAAATGTACCAAACAAGGAGGTGTGGCAGAAATCAGGCCTACCGCTTTTTAGCCGTTAGTTGAAGAATTTTTTTTGGTTTAATAGGGAGCGAATCACTATATTGTTGGGTAGCTACGATAGAGAGGCGTTCGAAAGATTTACTTGATTAGTCATCAAACCCGTAATAGATTTTTCACTTTTCTGATTTTTTAGGAAATCTTCGATAATCATTTTCTATTTTTTTTACTATTGACGTGTACCATACTGGAAAATGTCATATTTCCATGTAATCTATTTTCATGTAATAGATTTTCAGCTTTTCAAATGTCCTTAACGGTCGTTTGGATACCTGCAAATCTATTACGTGACAATAGATTGCAAAGAGGAAATATGGCATTTATAAAGAAATAGAAATAGATTACACCAGATTTACTCAAAAATCACAAAATCCATTACGCGTGGTGATAAGTGAAAAATCTATTATGGGAGTGAAGGTAATTTTGGAAAAAATTTCGTGTGCGTTTTTGCCTACCCTATCCCTCATTAAAAAAATCTTCGTGTAAACCCTATCTCTTCATAATAACCAGCATGGGTGATTCATCCTTTTAAACTCGTCATCTCATCTAAAGACATCAGCTGTTATAGAAAAACAAAAATTAGTAATCAATGATAAATTACACAATACAAAATTTCACACAACATAATCTTTTCCTCTCATCTAAAGACATCAGCTGTTATATAAAAACAAAAATCAGTAATCAATGATAAATTACACAATACAAAATTTCACGCAACATAATCCTCATAAAAGATTACTAAAATCTCAATTGAAATAACATACCTCTTTAGTCTCATCGAATACCTCAAAATTTTATACTGCAATTACCAAACTTTCTAGTTTATTAATCAAACGTCTTCCCATTTTTTAACTCGTACCATAAAGATTTTGAATTTAGTATCATAAATTTATTGTTTATTTGAAATTATATACAGAAACATTTGAAAGACTTCTATAAAAAATAAATAAAAATAAAACTTATCATAATAAAATCATGTTATTCCAATCATATTGTTCCAATGACTTATAATGTTGAAACCAATGTCATGTTAGAAAACATGTAATTTCATGTAAGTACCAAATGCATGAAAAATAAGTAGGAAATAATGTCATGATGACGGTAAAATAGTATAAGTTATTATTAGAAAATCTTTTTAGACTGGTGATGATGTTACTATTATAAATCTTTTTGGAATGGTGTCATGATGATTTTAATTCTGTATTTTAGTAGAATTTTGTGATAAAAAAGAAACAAATGATAATTCTGTATTTTAGTGGAATTTTGTAACAAAAAAGAAAGAAATGATAGTTTATGAAATTTTATGACAAAAATAAAAAAAATACATTTTTTATATTTTTTTCCGGATATAGCCAAACAATAACAATATATTTATCAGGTTGCATCTAAATACTACTCAAACAATAACAATCCATTTACATATAATAATGTAATATATGGATTACACCAATAAAGTATTTCCTACAAAATATATTTCCAGCTAAGTTGCAACCTCGGGCAAACGACATCATCAATAGAATGACGTTGACCCGCCCCGCGACAATGCCCTTTCCGGGCTCAATTCCGCCGCAATGTCCTTACCGGGCTCAATTTATATCGAGTGCGCCTGCGAGTACCGGACATTATCCACTCGACCAGTCCCTCTATGCAAAGCTCCACTAGAGAGGGTTTAGCTGGTTGAGAGTGAGGGAGAGCATTTGTCGTTTTTTAGAGAGAGAGAGAGAGAGTTTCTCTGATATACTCTTTAATGGCCAGGGGTACAGAGCGTCTGGCCAAACTTATCAAACAAAACGCTGATTTCTACGGCAAAATATTCAAAGATCATTTTGCGCCACCGTTGATGGGGCTCATTGAGCTCCCATACAGAGTCCTCATTTCTCCTTTCACTTTGGCTGCTGACATTGTCGGGTCTGCTCCTCGGGGCTTTGGAGTTCCTGAGTTCATTTCCCACCTCTCTTTCTCTGCAATTTTTGTATGTCTCTTTCTCTCTCTCTCTACAACCATTTCTGATCAAATTTTGTCTAGTTTGACCTGTTGAGATTTTTATGTGCGTAATTTTGCTTCTGTGATTTGAACTTTTATTTTTCTTGTTGGATTGATATGAGATTATTTTGCAGTGAGAGAGGTAAGAATGTGTTTTTCGTCTTGAATGTATGGGGGTTTGGGGTTTAATGGGTTTAGGGTTGTAGTTATTATTATTAGGAGTTTGAATTTCCATTGCCTTTATTCTTCGCTTTCACTCTGTCTCTAGTTTATGGGGTTTCTCTCTGGAAATATGCAATTGTTTTTGTATGATGCCTTCTTGTCTAAGCGTCTCTATGAGTCTTAGCGTGAGAAACAATTTCTTATTTGTTCGTGCTCATGCTCGTGTTTATTATTTGTTACTATCTTAGTCATCACCATTGTAGTTAATCTTCTTTTCAATTATCCTTTGAACTTGCAATTGACTTATTTTACTTCTGTAGAATCACATGCGTGGTAGTTTTTGGTTTTACATCTTGATATTCTGACTTTTTTTTTGTATTATTTATTGGTTTTGGGAGATTTGGGTTTTGGCTTCTCACTATAAAGATGTGCATGGTACCCAAAACAAGAAATTGTTTCTATATTTGAAAGTTGAAACTTCACTGTAATTAAGATTATGATTTATATTTGTTTTAATCCATAATGCAATACTAGTGGGTTCGAGTTCAATATTTTGCATATAATGAAACATTTTGTATCATATGCTTTTTGATGGAACCAATGGTTTTTCTGCATGTGTCTTCATATTAGAGGCAGTGTAGTCCCATTACATCATTTCAGTTAGTCCAATGGTTCTCAACAGGTTGATACCATCTTACTTGAGTCTCTCGTATTTCATTAGTTGACAAAAGTATATCCTTGAGTTCTAATTGGTATCAATATATAATGTGAATAATTTTAACATGTCTGACTATTAGCAAGTTATGAAGTAAGGATACCTGCCATTCAACTTTTTGGTCACTTTAGCAAATTATGTCTATTCAAGCTTTGTTGTATTTTTCCTTTACTGCCGATGAATTATTAGTAAAACGACCATAATGTCTCCCGATCCTTCTTCGGCATTACCAGACTCCTTAGAAACTCATTCCACCATATTAAGTTCACCTTCCTCTACCTCTGGGCTTGTAGTTGTTTTCCATATTTTAAGTTTTTTATGTTTATTTTTATCATGCATTATTTTCCTTTTGAAATGATTTAATGTTGAAGCAATCTTTTTGTTGGTCAGTAAGCATAGAAAGCTGGCTACATTAGATCATGCTTTTGGGCTAAAATTCTACTTCTTTTGATGCATCTCTTCCCTCTTTGGTTTCTTCCATGCATGACTTACGGGCAGTTTCATCTTTGAATTGGCTGCAGGCTGTTGCTACTCTAGGTACTTATGATATTGCCTTAGAACTTGGGAAGAAGGTCCTGTGTCAAAGGTACTTTTTGTTATTTCTTTACTTTTTTAAATGTTCCACCTTTGAATTTTTCTCATTCGATACCACATTTTTGTCATCGTCACCATGCTGTTGGATTTATGGCTTCAAAATATTCTGTCATGTTTAATCAGATGGATTCTTGTGGTAGTCTGTATTACCAACAATTTCATAGAGAAACATCAGCTGTTATTTTTTTGTTCATTAAATATGGTTAATTTTATGTTAATGAAATATGCATAAGTGGGAAGATGACATTCCATTTGACGACATATTTCTATAACATCTTGCCGCCTTCTGTTGAATGGCAAAGAGGAAGAAAACATTCTTTCAAGAGAAGTGTTTGTCCCTTATGCAATCCCCTATGGGAAAACAAAAGAAAAAGATAATATGGACTTGGTGGTTGCGACCTACCCTTCCTTTGAACTCAATGGCTGCAGTATATTGTCTGCATTTCTGTTTAAATATTTCCATTTTTCTATTGAAATGCCCTTTGACCATGCTTAGTTTGGGTTGTCATGTTGCATATGTGAGCTTTTTAGATGGTGTTTGACTTTCATATAAATATGCTGTTAATTGCATCCACAAGGTCAGTCTTGATGTGTTGAGAACTCTTTAGATTTTTAAGCCTTAATTTGCATTCCTGCGTGCATTCGGGAAATTTTGTGGGTTATAAGGTTTGCTCTATATGCAATGGGTATGGTTATTCCTAAAATTTCTAGGATCTTGATTCAATGTGAGGGTAACCCTGACTCAGATTTATCCAGTGGGCAATGGGTTGTAAGCTACTATTTGTTCACTTGTTTTAAAGGGCATTTCATTCAGCCTGAAACATTTATATATCACATTGGTGATCGTGTAGTGGATGATGGATTGACTCTTCTAACTTGATCTATACTCCTTTCTCACAGTCTAACATGGTTATTAATTTAATAAAGAAAAGCAGACTGATGGACTGACTTACCCCGTGTGTAAATTCTTTCTACACAATTTCATGTAGTGAAATTATTTTCACATTCAGTCTCAATTATTTAGAAGTTACTATTACAGTGATGAAGTAGATGCTCTATGCTAACGATATCTGCAGGGTTCTACAAGTGGACATTTGATTTCATACCGTATGGAATAAAAGTTTGGGTTGAGGTGCTGTTTTATATGAAATTCTTATGTTTCATGTTGTGGTTGTTAAATCTAGGAACTGTGGGACCTGTAGTGGGTGGCAGGCACTGCGCTGTACAATGTGCAAAGGGACTGGGAAGGTGCAATACCAAGTGAAGAATTACACCTTAAAAAGGTAGCATTCTTTTGATTAATGAGTGTGTATATTGCTATCCTGTGCATTGTGCGTGTGCATTTTTATGTTGAGGAAGAGAGATTTGTATTGCATGTGAATGGTTTTAATGGCTATTACCTGATTGTTTGAATACAAATTATGCTCTCTTGCATAATAAACATTTGAAATAGAGATAGCAGCTATTGAAGAAATGCTTCATCCAATTGAAGGGAGTGATGAGTCCAACATATATTCTTAACTTTGCATAAATATATCATCTGAGGTAGAAGCTTAATTGCTGGACATATTTGTGATTGGAGTAATGAAAGCAAGTACTGTACCAACTAATGTGTCATGTCGAACTTTTTGAATGGATGAGCCCTGTTTTTTGCAGATTGGGAATTCCCCATATTAAATTTGGACTGTCTACCCGAATGACATTAGTCTTGGGTATCCACTCAAATAAAGCCTCAAATAAAGAAATGGGAAATCGATAACCATTCTGAACGTTGTTAATGAGAAGTTGAAACCATTTCCTTACAAGGTCTGAGAAAATTTTTTGTTGTGTGTATGTGTGTGTGTGTGTATATCTGAACTTAACAACAAAACAAAAGTATTACTGAACTAGACCATTGACAGGGCCAAATCCCTCTTCTCCCTTTCTGCAAGGACACCTATGCTCCCTACTTTTTCTTCAGCCCATGGACCTCCCTCAATATGTAACTTCAAATTATTTTTCCTATATCGCCCTGCATCACGCTTTTCAAAAAAAAAAAAAAGAAAGTTAATTTCTAATCATCTGATCTTCTCTGTAACTCTCGCCCTCTCTACCTTCTAATCAATGGCCCACTTTCTCCCTCTCTATCTTCTGTGATACCTTTCTCTCTCTAACAATGCTGGGTAATAGCAAAGCAAAAGAGAACTTATGAGAGAGAAAGGGAGTTTTACGAAAGATTCCAATGTCCATGCATGAGTTTTGCTGGATTTAGGAGTTAAATGCTTATTTGGTCCTAGGTTTTGGGGTGTGCTTTTAGCTTTTATGATACACTTTATTAAATTTCAAATTTCAAATGGAAAGGCACACACATTGAAAGTTAACCCTGAACAGGGGAAAGAACTTTGTGAAGATTTAAGATGCTGAATAGCAATAATATAGCAAGCATCCATGAATTGAGAGACACTTCCCTGTGTTATTTCCAGCATGGGATTAACCACAAAATGATTAAGAAAAAGAATATGGAAAACAAGGAGTGTGGATAATCTGTCCAAAATATCAGAAACAATTGAATCTGCAGGATAAATCTAATACAAAACAAGAGGAAGAAATTGATGATAAAAAAGAGAAATAACCAAAGATTGGAAAAGAAAAATATTTTCATCATAGAATTCCAGCATTATCTTTCATAGTTGTAATTGTTGCTTGTATATTTTCCTTCAAGACCTAAAGTAATATTTTCCTCAAAAGACCTGAACTAAATAACAAAAAATAAATTTTTATTATTTTCAGTTGGTGAGGTCCATGTGCACTCCAAATTTCCAATGCATCCTTTTAACTTGATTTTATCACACACCATGCATATTTTTTCCATTCTTCTTATTTATATTCTAGTCCTTTGGATGATTTAAGCAAGCATATATATAATGATAGATGTGTATATTCAGAACTGATTGTTAAATCTTCCTGGATTGTCTGGTTCAACAAAGTTCAGGTGGAACTAGATCCAACGATGGACCTGGCATGCCTTTGAATATGAAAGGCACAAGAACCAAGTCCAGTTCCTTTGAGTTGCCTATCCAATAAGAGAATGGGTTGGTGCAACTGGCTTTTTTGAAACTGCCTGTTTGCATTCGCTTTCATAAAACTGGAGAGAATCATGCCTTATGGATTGGCACAAGATGAACGGCTTAGAACTAAAAACTGGCCCAATTACATAATAAAAACATATGTTGACCTTTGTCGCTCTTTTCATGTAGATGTAAGGACTTTCTCGAACGCTTATGAATTGCTCATTTTGGTGTTTTATAATTACATTTTATTCATTAGTTGTTTTTCACTTCGTTTGTAGACTTTTACTTTCTTATTTTGGAAATCATTGATGGGAACTGTTTTAAGTTTGGTTTGGATTAATAAGTCATATTCCATGGTGGAAATCCCTTGCAGTGGACAGAGACCAACACCTGAAAGTGTTGCAGAAGCCATTGCAGATAATAGGGCAGAGTTGGTTCACCTTCCATCTGCCATTGATCTTGATTTACCATTGCCCACCAAGGAATGCCCATCATGTGATGGCAGTGTAAGTTGTTTCTTCATCTTCCTTGAGTTGGATAGCTGAGCAGGTGCCCTTTCAAATCAGACATATTATAGATCTGTTTGACATTCTGTATGTTAACAACTACGTTTATAAAAAAAAAAAATTTATACATTTATTTTTATTTTAAATCTTATAAAAAAAAAACTACCTTTATAAATTCCATTTATAAAAAACTAAAATTATATATTTTTATAAAAATGCTAAAATTATATTTTCTATCGAAAAAATGGTCCGCTACTACATATCTACATCTCAAAACGATCAAATTCAGTAACTGGAAGAGAAAATCGAAACCCAATGCCTTGTTTGGTAGTCTTAATTTATTATATTGATTGAAATGTTTGTTGAATTTTCAGGGTGTGATGAGCTGCCCTGAATGCAAAAATAAATTGCAAGTTAGAATTTCTGCTGATGACGTAAGATTCTTTTCCCATTTTCTATTTTTCAATCTCTCATTGTCTTAGTGTTTCTGATGTGAAGCTTTATTGTATTTGCTAAGAGTTCTTGTAACAAGGTGGAGGAGTCGGTGGAGTATCGATTTGTGCCTTATTGATTTTTCTTTTTTTATGATGAATTCAAGAAAACTTCGAAATCTAGAAAAATTTCTCATTTTCTGTTTTTCAATCTCTCATTGTCTGAGTGTTTCTGATGTGAAACTTTATTGTATTTGCTAAGAGTTCTTGTAACAAGGTGCAGAGGAGTCGGTGGAGTATCTATTTGTGCATTATTGATTTTTCTTGTTAATGATGAATTCAAGAAAACTTAGAAAACTAGAAAAAAAAAATGAAATGCACCAATTTCTTAGTTGCAAGTACTTGTATGACCCCCAAGTTTGGGTTCACTTATCCCTAAATTAAGTGAGATTACGGTTGATTCCACCTTACCTTATATAGCCTGTTGATGTAACATGTTCCCAAGACAAAGTATGAACTATCGAATTGTTCCTTCCCTTATATAGCCTGTGGATGTAATATGCAGTGTTTTAAAAAGTGGATTGCTCAACGTCTTGGCGGCCGCCTAGGCGGGTCCAGAAGGCCTAGGCGCAACGCCCAGGCCTAGGCAGCTAAATTAGGCGGATATCCCTAGGCGCCCAGGAACCTGCCTAGGCGGCTACCTGAACCTGCCTAGGTGGCCGCCTGAACCTGCCTAGGCGGCCGCCTGAACCCACCTATGCGGCCGCCTAGGGCTTGCGCCCCACCCAGGGGGCAGAAATGCTTCTCGTTGGACATTTTTGGATCATTTTTTTAACACTAAAAGGGCAAAATTGTGGGAAACCTAAAACCCATTAGAGCCTATTTTAGAGAGAGAAACCTCCCCCAAAAAAATTTCTTTCTACTAGGCCGCCCAGGTTCTGGGCGCCCGCCTAGGCTTTGGGCGGCTTGGACCCCCCTAGCCGCCTAGCGCTTTTTGAAATATTGGTAATATGTTCTCAAGACATAGTATGAAACTATTGAATTGATTTCCATGATTAATGATGATTTTTATCGTTTTGTTGTAGTTGTTGTTTGTGAATTTTGGTAAGTGGATTCACTTTCAAAAAAAAAATCAGTAAGTGGATTGCATTATGTGTTCAGACCCTTTTCATGTCCACGTATATAGGAGCCACCCCACAACAGAGTGTGTACATGCACACAATCATTTCATCCATAGCAGTGCTCAGTCGGATATTATAAGGTGATCCTGTTTTTTAATTCTGTTGAATATTAAGTTGTGGTTCGGTCTTTCTTCCTCCAATTATCCACTGCTGGCCTGCCCCACACTCTGTGGAAGGCCTCTTCAAACATCACCATGACGTGCCCCTCCCCAAACCGAGCCTCATACTATGCTGCTTAACTATCGAGGTCATCATGTGTTCCATTTGACTCAAGAGAAACCGACACATCTTCAGAGCTCAGCGGCCCACATCCCTGACCTCATGTATAGTATTAGAAAACTGCTATAGTTTTCTGTTCTTCTTCACGTGAATTGTTCAGCCACTTCTCTATGTCTGATTTCCTCAACCAGTGGCACCACATCATCCGATCGTCCTTGCCTTCGACTCTGTGCTCCTACTTGTGGTTGCCACCCAAACCAGGCATTATCAAATTCAACTTCGATGGAAGCTCCATGGGGAATCCAAGGTCAGCCTGATAGGGGGACTGTTTAGAATTTTAGATCACACATAGGCGAGATCGTACTCACCTTCTCAGGCCCAGCATACCTGAATCAAAGGCCCAGCTTGTTCGCTTGTGATAATTCAACTGCAAATGGGGCTTCTCCATTCCCGAGGTGACTCACTGAATGCTTTATCATGGGCTTACAAAACCACCTCCTGCCTGTGGAGGTTGGACAACATCTTGGAAAAATTCTTCTACTTGTGCTTTGAACTTTCCAACATACATGCGCGAAGTGAATTCTTCTGCTGACTGCCTGGCTTCAGAAAGGATCACCTTCCCTCCCAGCGATCCAGCAACCTTCTCCCACTAGCCCTAAATAGCAAATTTTCTGGATATTGTATAGGAAAAGTCTCTAATGATGCCCATACATTTTGTTCTTTACCCTACACATCAATTCTACGAATTCACAATATAAATTCAAAGAGTCCTTTATCAAAAAAAAAAAAAGGTTATGTGATATAACTCATCTCAAGGAAGGAAAAAGGTGTTCTTCTCTGAATTATGATTAGGATTATAAAGATAATGATTTGTATATTTTGATTCATTATTGACAGTGTATGCTGTATTCTGTTTATTCAGGCATCTGTTAGTACCTATCTTTCTTTGTTTTATTCTATTCGACCCCTGTGCATAATATTTTGAAAACAATTTTTTTCTGGTAGATAATGGAACCTCCATGGAAAGCATACAATGTTTTCAGAAAGATGGAGTACCCCTATGAGGCAAGTTTCAACAGTACCTACTTTCTTGTCAATGCATCTATTAATTGAAGCTTCTTTCTAGGTTTGCTATTGATGTGTTTGATGTCTACTAGTCTTTTGCTTTTCTGGTACATGCTCGCTTTTCTTGATTGTTTTTCTGCTTTCTAGTTAAAGAATTCTCATCTTGCTAAATATATTTTCTTGCCCATAGGTATATCTTGGCATTTCTTTTCCACAATTGTTGATTGTGCCTTGAGGTTGACTAGATCAAATCTCTTAATGTATAACAGCCAATGCATTCACTTTCTTAAATTAATTCCTCAATATCAGGGACCATTGGCCTACAAAATGAAAAACTTAATAAAACAAAGAAATTAAGAAACAATAGAGCATAAGAGAAAACTCGGCTATAGCTCTTGATTGTCAGTTTCTATCATTGAGAACACGCAAGCTCCTTTGGTTTTTATTTCTACTGTATAGGCAGGACTTCTTGTGCAAGTAGATTTGCAGTTTGTATATCCTATTTACATAATTTTTATGTTTCATCTTGTTTCGTAATATTCTGGATTCATTTGCAAACAATGAGATGTGCTCTTGTTTAAGATTCATAGGGTTTTGATCACAGTATTGAGTGACTTTCATTCACATGACATTTATTATTGTTATCTAGAATCAGATGATATGTAGCATAGTTTCTTCTGACCAAAGTAACAAGGCTTGATCTCGGGAATCTCAATGTAAGCATATTTCTTGGGTTGCTTTCAATAGAGTAGATTTCACAGGAGATCCCCATAAAAATCTAAAGAAAATCACAGAAATATGAAATTACGGAAAATATTTTAAAAAAATCTATAGCCAAAAAGAAAATGATTTTATAATTTTTCTAAATAAAAATATGAATTTCTTTTCCATTTAATACTTATATATACATTTAAATGTATGTTTGTTTTAGAAATAATGGAAGAAAATAAGACGAGAAGTAGTGATGTATAGAACAAACATTTTTAACTCAGGATCTTTTTTGTTAGATGTTCTTTTTCAGAAAATAGTGATATTTGTCACTACATTTTCAATCCTGGCTATAGAAATGGTATTGGAGGAAAACATTCGCAAGGGAGTGATGTCATAAATGTATACCAATGCAAATGCCTGTTTATGGAGGATGCATCAATTGGTTCATTGTAGTGTTATCGGAACCAGACTGGACTGGCAGTTCCAACCGCTGAACGAACCCAAACCAGTTTGGTATGCAAGAAATCTGGATGTTGAAATGAATGTAATTTTTAAAATACTTTTGTATTGTATTTTAGGGTTTTGACTGGTTTTTATCAGTCCAATAGGTTTGATGACTGGTTGAAGTGCTAATCTAACTTGATTGAGCACTTTTCCTGTTCACTGACTTATTCCCTTGTGATAACACTGATCCATCCTTCTAGTATGACTGTGGTAGTGGAGAGATTGGGAGAAGGATTTGGCCTACAGTGAATATAGTGAAATTGTTCTACATGTCTTGGACGCAATTTATACTTCCATTCTGACGGAATCTTTGTTCTTACACTAGGAATTTTTCATGATGGATTTGTAAATACGAGCCTTTATCAATGATTGGCACTTGATCTTCCATTTGCAGTATGTTGTCATTTTTCCCGATTTTCGTTTTAATTGCTTGAATACATTTTAACTTTTTAGAGTTAAAACTGAGTGCAGGGATCTTGGGATTGGCTGTCCAAAAGAGCGAGATGATGACTCTGTAAGAATTCGGTATTTTAATATGATATATTGCAGTATGAGCCAAAACTTGATTCATTGCAATCAAGTTCATGGTCGGTTCAGTCCCATGGTGAGAAAAGCTGAGGGTTTGTCTTAGAAGGCCAAAACGTCCTGCTAGATGTTCTTTATAATCTTCAACATGCCAATCCTCATTATGTTATAGATATGAGGGTAGCTGAAATTCTCTTACGTTTAGAGGAACATATGAGGTATTTGTGAGTACCTTTTGTTTCAAAGATTTAACAAATAATGAGGCTGAATGTTGAAAGATTAATAAACCATGGGTTGTGGACAAAATTTGAATATTTAAGTGCGTTTTGTAAGTACGAATTGAAGTATATTGGACCCTGTTCAGTAGCCTTTTCAACTTATCTGCATTGTGGCAAGTGATTTTCCTTTTTTAATTGCTTGAATACATTTAACTTTTTAGAGTTAAAACCGAGTGCAGGGATCTTGGGATTGGCTGTCCAAAAGAGTGAGATGACATCTGTGTAAGAATTAGGTATTTTAATATGATATATTGCAGTATGAGCCAAAACTTGACTCATTGCAATCAAGTTCATGGCTGGTTCAGTCCCAGGGTGAGAAAAGCTTAGAAGGCCAAAACGTCCTGCTAGATGTTCTTTATAATCTTCAACATGCCAATCCTCATCAAGATATGAGGGTAGCTGAAGTTCTCCTACGTTTAGAGTAACATACGAGAGGTATTTGTGAGTACTCTTATGTTTCAAAAATTTAACAAATAATGAGGCTGAATGTTGAAAGGTTAATAAACCATGGGTTGTGGACAATATTTGAATATTTAAGTGCTTTTTGTGAGTACGTATTAAAGTATCTTGGATCTTGTTCAGTAGCCTTTTCAACTTATCTGCCCCGTGGCAAGTGATGTATCAATCTCGGCTTCTCGTTAGATTGTGGATAATGGATAGCGGGATATCAACCTGGTCACACTAACAGTGGAAGCTTTACCGCCTAAGTAAATTGGCCCAAGGACTTCTATTTTACCTACATGCATTGGTTATTTTCTCTTGTATCATTGCTGAATGCTACTTTCCCATAAGTTGTAGGTCTTAAATTGCAATGGTTGTTGCCAGTAGAAGTTCTACCCATGTCAATTGCTGGATAGAGAGCAAACTATTAACCTTCTTATTTGGAACTTTTGCAGCACATTGCTGATAGCATGCGGGACCCAAATATTGCTGCATTTTGGTTGATTTCAATGCCTGAAATCATGGGTGGGTTCACCTTCGATGATGATGCCAAGAAGAAAATATGGTGGGCATACAAGGTGTGGTATTTATTTGCTGATTTGTGTGTGTAGACTGACATGTCATATGAGAAAATGCATATTAAAACTTATAAAGAGGTCCTTACTGCCTACAGGTTGTGTCATAGCATTCTTTTTTTTGGTCTATGATTCTTGTTCAAAACTAGTTAATTTCAGGCAGGCTACGCAGTTCTTTTTCAATGTAAAGCTTTCTTTTCATATATTTGTAAGTGATAATTAATATGATTTAAGATCGTTTTTTTTCCATAAAAATTGACAGATAGTTGTTCTCGATTCTCAACATTACCTTGAATACCATTCCTCTCATTGGATGCTTTCTTGTAAGGTTCTTTAGGAATCCATGCGGTATGATCAGCTTAGAGATATTGTTGCAAAGCGAAAACCTGGTTGGGAGCACTTGCAACAAGTAAGTAGTGTAATATTTTTTTTCTTTTTGTTTTATTCTTTTTTTCTATTCATGTTTTCTGTTACCATATGTTTTTTCTCATGTTTTCATGTGACCTGTGGTAACTAAGCTGGATGTGTGTGTGTGTGTGTGTATGTGCACGTGTAGTTTGTACAACAGCTTGGAAAACATGGAAAATTGTCCCTATTTGATGTAAAGTGATTGGCATGGGTTCTATAGAAATCTTTTGCTATTTATGTTCTTGTTTGTTTGTTCTTATGGTGATGTGTTTCAACTTGTATAATACCCGTTTAATGAGTGAGCTATAAGATGCTTTCTTGATGTCATTAGTTTAAAGGACATTTCTCATCAAAGCATTAAACCTTTGAATAAAAATGGAAAGTTGGTTTCAAAGCAATATAATTATAATTTTTATTTGTTATAAATAGGCCCTTGTTTCTATAGATCCGGAGCGTGCAAGAGATGATCCAGTTATTGTGAAGAACATCCCGTATTACAAGGCCAAGAAGGCATTAGAGGCAGAGGTCACGAAGCTTGACGTCCCACCGCGCCCTGATAACTGGGGTGTAAGTGCACGCACCTGAGAGTGAAAGAGCGAGAGCGAGCCAAATTCAAAAGAATTGCATTCTTTTCCTTGAAGATTTTGTGGCACTTAAATGTGTCTGTGAACCTACTTTTGGACTCTGCTGTTTTGGACGCAAACCAAGCGAATACTGTTTTTCTTGTTTGCCAATATATTTCTGTCACACATTCTGCTAACTGTGGACGGAGGGAGGGTTGGGGGAGGAGGGTTGAGGGAGCCAAATCCAAATGAATTGCATTCTTTTCGTTTAAGATTTTGTGGCACTTAATGTTTTTGTGAACCTACTCTTTGACTCTGCATTTTTGGACCAAAACCAAGCTAATTCTTCTTTTCTTGTTTGCCAACATGTTTCTTACACATTCTGCTAACTATGGAGGGAGGGAGGGAGGGAGGACAGGAAGAAGAAACCGCTGGGGGGAAGGGGGGGGGGATGGAGTTGTTGGGCAGAGCGAGGGTGGGGATAAGAGTGAATTTGGGTTTGAATGGTAAAGAGCTTCTGATGTTTAGAAGCACTCCTCAAGTTCAAATTCCTACCACTGAACTACCCCAAAAAAAAAAAAAGTTCAAACATATTCAAACAAAAAATATTTCTTATGCCAAATATTTCATCTAAAATGTTTGTTAGACCTTGCTTTACCCTTGAACTCATGCAGTTGCACGTCTTATGATTTGACAGGATTTAAAGCTTCCATTGACTAAGACTTCATGGACAGATGAAGAGCTTAAAGATCCTCAAAAGCTTTTGGAAATGACCACACTACTCACCGCACAAAGAGAAATGGCTGATAAATTCTTAGATACACAGTGGGAAACAAAATGGCGGCAAGATAAGGTATGCAGATCTTTCTTTTTCTTATTCTTAGTTATTGGAAGGTCAGTGGGATGCCCGTTTTGTCTACAAATGATCAACACACCCCAAATCTCAAGATGCCAAACAACTGTTTTTTAATCATGTTCTTGGCATTGTTATACTTTCTTGTCTGATATGGTTGGTAATGTTAGAAGGGAAATACTTTTCGAAAACTATGCCAAATGAATAAATACAATTGACTGAAATTTGTTGGGGCCAATATAGTTATTTTAAAACGATAGTGGTATGTAACTTTGGTAGAACTCTGACAACTGTTTTTTAATCATGTTATTGCCATTGTTATACTTTCATGTCTTTTATGGTTGGTAATGTCAGAAGGAAAATGCAAGATGATACTTTTCGAAAACCATGCCAAATGAATATATATAATTAACTAAGACTTGTTGGGGCCAACATAGTTATTTTAAAATGATAGTGGTATATCGATAAATATAATTGACTAAAACTTGTTGGGGCCAACATAGTTATTTTAAAACGATAGTGGTATATCACTTTGGTAGAACTCTGGCAACTTTGACACAATACTTACTATTATCTTTCAAGGCACAAAATAGTTGTGGAAATATTTATTTTGAAAACAAGTTAGCATTATTTTGGTTGATTCTGCTTGATATTGGACTCTGATCCCCTTTCCTTGTTGCAAAATTTTGGGTTTTATTTTATTTTATTTAAACTGTTGACTGTTGGATTAACAGTTAACTGTTGGATTGAGGTTTTAGAATGCAAGGCACGTTTTAGAATCTAGAATGGGGGTTCAACTTTTCAAAAGACGGCTGAAAAATGTACTTCGAAAAACTGCATTTACCCAGAGTTTAGATGACCACACGGGTTTTGGTTGTTATGTATTGGTGTCTTCACCTAAAGCCATCTAGTCATGGGTTGAATGAAAATGTTATTTTCAGACTTCATCCAACTTCACAAATGTGGCATTTTATGGGTAAACTTGCACCTGCACAGAAAGGTAAAGTGGCTTCCAGAGGTGCCACTTAAACATAGGCTGGTCACCCAAAACAGTGCCAGACCATGGTTTATTGAGGCATCCAGACATACCCTTAAGCGTCTCAGCTTTCAGGATGTACACATGCCATGGATCGATGGCTCAGTGTACTATCAGATGTTTGCAAAAGTCTGACATTAGAAAGTATTTTTATCGATTTGCCTCATTCTGGTATTGGTTTCACTTCAAATGCTGTTGACCTGGAAAGGGCTTGTTATTACATATTGTTTGTTATTACATATTGTGATATTGTACTACTCTTACATTTTCTCATACTTTGGTGTGTTGTTTTTCAGCTGAATGAACTGTTGGAGGAGAAGGTGAGGCCCTACATTAAAAGTGTAGATACTGGTGTTCTTCCTCAGCCCATAATCATGAAACCCCAAGATCAGGAAGCGAAGGTCTCTGTCTCTGTCTCTGTCTCTCTGTGTGTGTGTGTCTCTCTCTCTCCTCCCCCCGAAAAAAGAGTGAAGAGCCTCCCTATTAGTTCATTTACATTTCCTGAGAAAATTAGAAGTTTATACATGTCTTGTAGAATTGAACTATAGGAATATACGTCTCTTAATCTATGATTCACTATTAATAATTCAAATGAAACAGGATCAGAAAAAAATTCTTGTCTTTTTGGTGATTTTATTAGGTTAAGAATTTCAGTTCAATTAGCTAGTGCCTGTAATTATATTTTGTGAGTAATTCACATAATCTAAATCAGTTTACAAAATTCTCTTTATTAGATAAATGTTAAACCTTCATTATGTACGGCCATGAGATTACTAAGTTTACAACTGATGCATTGTATTTGTGTTTGGGAGAATTTACAGGAAAGCAGGAGACGAAGGCGATGGCTCTTCTTCTGACTGGAAGTGCACATCAAATTCCATATTTAGCCTCTTCCATCTTCTTATTGCTGTTCAGATTATTGTCTTTGATCCAAAAGCCGTGACTTGGAGTTGCACATTACTGAACGTTAAAAGAATTTTGATTTACCCTCTTTGTAATACCTATGTGATAATTTAGATGTGAATGCCTATGTATTTGCTCTTCATTATTTATTTGTGTTACCAAAAATTTGGTGTAGTTCTTGGGGACGAATGGGGAATTTTGAAAAGGGAAAAGTTTATATAGAGCCGAGGCTCTAAACAATCAAATTTGAGCTTACCCCAAAAATTTTACTAGAAGAGTTTGTTTTGATGCGCAAATATCTTCAAATTGACCATCTCATTATCATGATGCATGGACATGAGAAAAAAAATGGATTTCAAGTTTTGGAAATAATGTATTTTATAACTCAGTTTGGACAGGCAATTTTTAAGATTTTCAAGTTTTCATAGGTCTGTCAATCTATACCATTTTTTATGCTTTAAACTTTATATATAAATATAAAAACATATCTTAAGGCTATCACAAAGACTTGCAATATTAAAACCATATTTCTAGATACTATTTGAAGGTAGGCTTTAATTTGATTGTTTAGAGCTTAGGCTCTATACAAACCGCACCTTTTAGAAAATAGATGACATTTTGTGGGTGTTTTTCGAATCTTTGGAGGTCCTCTTTTAAAGAAGGATGAGGTTTCTATGGGCTTAGGATTTATGAAAACAAAATACAGCCTCACTTCAAATCCTTGTTCGAAAGTAATTTCAACTATGGAAATCTCTATTATGGCTTTCAAAACAATTTTCAAAATAGAAAAATGGTACAGATCTTGTTGAATTGTGAACACTTATTTTTTAAAGCAAAATGGAAGGTCTTAGATAGAGAGTTTGAATTTTATTTTTTTTCACAACTGTAATGTTCAAGTCAGGATGATAAATGAAAAGGTATTCTAGTGCTTGACTTGCAATTTTGATGAATCATTTTGGATGTACTTATTTTGATAGGTTTGCAACCCTATCAAACCATTTTCCTTAATAAAACAAAATAAAGAAAACAATAATTTGAGCATTCTTAATGGCCGTTATAGTTGCCCTGCCAACCTTCCCATTTCTACAAAAGGGTGTGGTTTGTATAAACTAAATAATCTATGTAAGGTTCACATTCAAATGGTGTCAATAAATGTTTTAATATTAAATTTTTTTTGTGATGGGTTGATAATTCATTTTCATCTTTAATTATAACATTTAAAGCTTACGAAAATAGCATAGATCGAGCATATTGATGAACATCTGAAAATCCTGAATATTAACCGTCTGACAATGCACTACAAGATGTACTATTTCCAAATCTTGAAATCCATTTTTTCTCATGTCCATGCATCTTAAGGTCGAGATGATCAATTTGAGGATTTTTGGGTATCCGAACAATCACTTTTAATGAATTTTTGAAATGTGTTGTAATTTGATTGTTTAGGGCCTTGGCTTTATATAAACTTTTTCCTCACCAAAATGTATAATATCCAACCTCATGTAAACCTTTGCACATTATAAATACGGGTGTGGTTTATGTAAGGTCGAGGCTCGGAGCCATCAAAGTAGGGGGTACTTCTAAATAGTAGCAAAAGATGATTTTTAAGTAGTAATTTTTTTTTTGTGATGGTCTGAAAAGTTATTTTCATCTCTAGTTATAAAATTTAAAGCTTCAAAAATATAGTAGATGGAGTAGATCTATAAATACTTGAAAATATCGAGAATTGACACATCTATACATCTAAATATCAAAGTTATCCATTTGAGAGTTATTCTAATAAATTTTTAAGGTACGTCTTAATATGATGGTTAAGGGCCTTACATGAACTTTTTCCTATAAATGTAGTGGACCTACTGGTGCATAAATGTAGTGGACCTACTCGTGCATAAATGAGTAAATAACATAGCAAAAAGAAAAAGGGCAGAAAGTATAGTGGACCTCCTGGTGCAATACAAGAGTAATAAAATAGCAAAAAGAAGAAAAAGAAGAAATGAAGAAGTAGTTTAAGAGCCATAAAATGGCAAAAAGTTGGAAACCGGTAAAAGGAAAAGCATTAAAGAACTAGTTGAGTTTCTGCTAAAATTTGTGGAATAAAATGCAAAAGATCAGTGGAGAATACTATGCTTGTGTATAGGCAAAAGACAAGGTTTCCATGAGTTGGCCGACTCATCTATTGAAATGTGTCCTCTTTCCCAAGTCTAGTTTAGAGATTAAAATTTTGGATTTAAAATTTTAGAAGTTAAAATCTCAACCATGATAAATGTGGACTTAAAAGTAAATAAATTTTAAAAAATAAAAATACAATATTTTTTACATAGTTTTGATACCGTTGAATTTAAATTTTTGTGGGGCTACAGTTTTCTCACATCCATCTCCAAGCTAGATATTGCAAGCGTCAGGGGATGCTATTGTAGAAATGTGTCCCCTTATACGCAAACTACTTTTCTGTTGCAAAGTGTGTGGAGGTGATTACAAAAGAGAATGTCTACTATGCTCATTGGGCACGAAACTATGCTCCCATGGGAGTGTAGTGTACATATACTCCCTCGGTCAGAAGATGTACTGGGGAGGATTCTTTTCAATATGAAATTTGGAAACCACTTAAGCATTATCGGATGATTATTTTCAAATGAAGAAATTTGAATTCTGAGTTTACGATCTCTGTCAATCTTAAGATATTATTTTTTCAAGTGCATAGAGGGTGTAATGAGGAACTTTTAATTGAGATTAATCAATGGGTTGAAGAGTTCACATGACCAAAATTCGGGTACTGCAGCACAAGGTATGGAATTTTGGTTAAAAAATAAATACGCACCTCAAGATCTCATTAAATGTGCTATAAGATACACTATTATTGGTCTTCATATCTACCTTTTTCATAACCATAATTATTAAGGTCGAGATAATAATATGAGGATTTTAAGTTCTTTAAATCATAGATCTTTGTCTGTCTAACAAATATTTCTCTCCTTAATAGATATCCCTCTTTGTTTTGTAGATGAGCTGTACCGAGATACTTGGCACAACTAACCTAGGCAAAAGGCCCATGTTAAGTAACTCGGCCCAGTCCGGAGTCTCAAAACACTAAGGCCTTATTTGGTAATTGAGAAAGCAGTTTTCATGGAGAATCTCTGAGAAGATGGAAGCCTAAGAAAAAGGTAGGAGTAGAAAACTGTGGCTGGAATTTGAGAAATTTTGTTTGGTAAACCCATCGGTGAAAACTGGAGAAAGCTCGAGGTAGAATTTGGGCAGATTGAGAGGGGAGAGAGATTGCGAGGTTAGAGAAATAAAAAGGGGCATGAGGGAGTCTTCACTTTTCCTCCTTCCCTAAGAAATCCACATTGTTATTTCCCTAAAATTAGAAAAAAGAGTGGAAATGGGGGCCGAACACTTTCCTTATCCTCGAACATGGGTGGTTTTCTTAGGTGCCAAACAAGGCCTCTATTTTGTGCTAAATTCAGGCATGTAGGTTTGGCGTACACACATAAACACGAGAGAGATAAGCCTCCATATAAAAAGAGAGAGAGAGAGAGAGATCCATCCTCATGGGTTGCTGAGAGAGAGAGAGACAGAGAGAGTTTGTTCATGCTCGTGGGTTGTTTTTGAGAGGGAGAGAGATAGAGAGATTAGAGAGAGCGAGGGAAAAGGAGGAAGGAGATAGGGAGGGGGGCGGGTCTCGAGAGAGAGGGAGATACAAAGAAATGGGTTGGGTACTTGGGAATTTTGGTAGGAAATAGAGTGGTTCAAGGGAAAGGAAATTCCATTTGTTATTTTAAAGGGGGGGTTGCAGTTTATATAGAAGCGAGGCTCTAAACAATCAAAATAAAGTAGAGGGCACTTTCAAATAGTATTGAGAAATGTGGTTTTAATATTGAAAATTTATGTGATAGCCTTAAAATATATTTTCATCTTTAATTATAAAATTAATATAAATGGAGGATATCTATAAAAATTTGAAAATCTTGAAAATTGATGGTCCAAAAATGTGTTACAAGATACACTTTTCCAAAACTTGAAATCTATTTCTTTCTTATGTCCATGCAACTTAATGTCGAGATGATCAATTTGAGGATATTTGAGCATCAAAACCACCTCTTCTCTTGATGTTGATATGATCAATTTGACGATATCTGAACATCAAAACAACCTCTTCTAATTAAATTTTTGAGATGGGCTCTAATTTTATTGTTTAGAGCTTCGGCTCTGTATAAACGTTTTCCTTTTAAAGGAGGTATTGGGCTTGGATATATATGACATTTTGGAAATGCATGGTGCGGCTTCACAATTGTGGTGGCTTTTGACCCACCCTTTTAACATCTTGTTTTAGTGAAGATGTGGCAAGCGTTGTTTGTGGCCGCGACCACATATAAATATATATGTGACCCCATTTTTCAATTGTTTTATGTGACCCCATTTTTCAACTGTTTGTTCTGAATCGATAGCTAGGATCGCTAATATCACAATAACATACCAAAACACTATTTGATTTTTTTTTTTCTTTAAAATCTGTTTGGCTGAAATTTGGGCTCCCATCTTCTTCTTTGGGCGCACCTAGCACAAATATTATTTCTCATAAAAATAAATGATCAAAATGCCCTCAAAGGCTTTAGGGGTATTTTGGTAAATTTTCATTAGAGAAATATTCCTATTAGATTTATGCATTTCCCAAATTTTGCTTCAAAATGATTTATAGAATAAAGATTAAAATAAAAC